ATTGAGTATTGATATTTTAGTCTGTACTTATTGGCGGTTCAATCGTAGCTAGGCTTGCAACGAATAGTATATTCGGCAAAATTCCGAACACCGAATATTCGGCATTCTCCAAAGACCAAATACCGAATATTCGGCAAGTTTTTGGCGCCTACTCTCGTTTCTGTTAAAGTATCAGTAATTATTATATTACTAAGGCGCTAAATGTTTATTCAAGTTTTATGCCCAGACTTGCAACCTACTTTTTGACTACTCTTTGTTATTTGGAATACTTGGCACCAATTATACTATTCGGCTGAATACCGAATACTTGAATACCACATGTGATAGGGAAATAAATGGTAAAATCATAAAAAAGCGATTCTTTACAAACTTTACATATATGTAAAAGTTTCTCGAATTATTTCTTTCATAAACTTTTAATATTTTTTTTATAAACTCAATATTATTTTTTATATATTAGGAATGCTAATCATAACAGAATAAACTAGTGGGGCGCATGGCATCGTGCCTTGAGGCAAATTGCTGGAACTTCCCTTACCAAAAATTATTTTTTTTAAAAAAGATTAACATTTTTGAAAAAAAAAATACTCTGCAAAAATTAGACTTTTGAGAAACTATAATTCTTTGACAAAAATTTACTTTTTTTTGAAAAAAAAAATTTTTTTTGAAGATAAATTTATTTTGAAATATCTTGGAAATTCAGAACATTTTTTCAAAGCAATCGTACTGTTTCAACTGCATAGAGACAAAATATCGAAGCGCGTAAGCGCCGCGTCGCCGTCTAACGGGTAAACATTGGTACAGAACCCATAGAAATGTAAATAAAATTTATACTTATTGTTAAAATCTCTATAAAATATCTGATAATTTGATGTGCATTTAATTATTTTTGACCGCCAAATGGCATTTTTTTTATTTTTTTTACTAGATCTCCTAAACCGCTAGACCTGCCTTCATGAAAATTTGATCAGTTTGTCATCTTATTAATACAAGTAAAATGTTTTTTGAATTATTCAAATCGGACGCTCGGTTTTCTTAAAAACTGAGATACTGTTTTTGGCTCTTTTTGCCCCATATCTTCGAACCGGCTAGACCTACCTCCGCCAAAAACTAATCAGCACGTCTCCTTATGAATACGAATCGAATGTTTTTTGAATTATTCAAATCTCATCATCCGTGTTCCCGAAATCGTCGACAAAAATTTGTATCCGAACACACACACACACATCCATCCACATTATCCATACATTTAAAAGATGAGTATAATGTTTATGAATTATAACATTGATCATAACAAGTTAAGAATTATATCATTCTAGATTCTTCCCCCACGAAGTAATGCCTAACGGCGGTTTACGTGGGGACCAGAGGCAAAGGCAAAGCGGAGGTTTTAGTCGGTATTATACCAGGGCGGTATCGAGTCTGACATACCCAGACAGAAGACCGGTCTGGGATGCATAAAGGCATTTCCTTCGCTATACAAAAAAAAAACACATCCATCCACATACATCCATTTTTTCTAAGGTGCCAAAATATTGAGAAGGTTTTGAAACATAAAGATGTATAAAAATTTTCATTTTCGATTTTTTTGCGATTACTATAACTTGCCCTACGGTAAGTTAATAAAAAATGATCAAAAATATTGTTTGTATATTTTGCGATAAAGAACCAATAATAATTCATTATTTGGACATGTGTGCCAGCAAAACTCATCATTTAGTTAGAAGAAATAGTCTAAAGCATTAAGAATGCTGTTTAATGCGCCATGTTATGTTTCGAACATAATTATACACAACAACCTCATAATTAAAACTGTACAGAAAGAAGTCCAAAAAACAAAGTGCTGTGCATCATGATAGACTACAGACTCAAATGAACCAAATCGTTTCTCCGCTTTTAGCAAACTCTGGTACAAGGAGGCTCATGAAAAAGCATCCAAGTGATCTCATTTAAGAAAGTAGAAGTATCTTACCGGAGATCTTCTACCACGCCATATATAAAATGGGGATCAAAATTATAACCCAAAGGCTTATAGAATATAATTGTTTTGATTGCCATTCAATATATATTAAAAAATTGTAATTTGTAATAAGTGTTCAAATGACATATCAAACAAACATCGAAATATGATCAGTTAAATTCCCAGATAATTCTTTTTGTTTGGAAATATCAAAATTGGAGGTTGCGTATATTTTTCAATATTGCACTTTAAAAAAATAAGAAAGAATCCAATACAAGTGAAATACCAAGTGGTGTTATGCCTTGAGGGGTTAGGGGTACTTGGAGGCACGAAAAAATGAGAATTTTCAGTAATTTTTTTTTTATTAGACTATGTTTTTTTACGAAAATATTAATACGGCATTATGTTAAAAAACGGTCCTGGCAGTGACCATCATAACTCCTTAGAGATTCATCTAAAATCAATCAAATAAAAAAATAGTTTTATAAATAGATAATCCTGGTCCTGATCGAAAATTTTCTTTTTTTTGCAAAAAATAACAAAATTTTGCAAGAAAATAAACAAAAAAAAAAATTCTAGATTTTTGGGTAAAAAATCAAGAGTTAAAATTGGTCTTAAAAAATTGAAATTTTTGAAAAAATAAAAATCCTTCGATGAGGCCCGAGTTTATTATGTATTCTAAAAGCTGTATAAAGTTCATTAAAATTTACTAAGCGGTTTTTGAGTTACAGTGGTCACCGGTTCAGAAAACATAGTTTTGAGAAAAAACGCGTTTAAAGTTTCACATTGGATTTACGTACAGAAATTCGAATTATTGAATTATTTAAACCGAGTCATCTATTTTTGGGCCATATAATAGTTCAGCAGTCATTGTGCAAGTTTCCAAAATTTCCATTTGCTGTTGCCTACGAAGCATTCTGGCCCCCCGAGTGTTCTCGTGGGCGCGCTGATCTGCCACTTTCACAATGTGCAGCATTCAATTTTTCAGCATACCAATGGTAATTATACCCACAATTAGGCCCTTAGGTATACATAATCAATAATAATGATTATGAATATGTATTCAGCAATTTGTACGGTAGTAGAACTAGTATTCACGGTTATTAGGAATATTTTTTACATTGGTTGGTTGAAGCTTTTATTTTTTCCTGATTATGGATTCAATCTTGAACTACACATCTTGAAAGTAAATTATCATTGATGAGATCGTCGTAAATCGGTTTAAAACCTTTTAAAATATCAGGAGGTGAGGAAGAATAATCTTGAGTATAAGTATCGAACACTCCACTTGCGTCAACGCGCTGGTAAGAGTCCAATAACTCAAAAAGTAATCATCGGATCAACTTGAAATTTTCAGAAAACATTTTCAAGATGAAAATGCAAAAAAATAAAAATCGATTTTTCAAAAATTCCAAGTACCCCGAACCCCTCAAGGCAAATTGCTAGAACTTCCCGTACCGTAACAAAATGTTCGAAAAATATTAACTTAAATGTTTTTAAATAGATTATTATAAATACTGTAACCTAGGCCTAATATTTACAAGGATTATATAGACTGAGCTACAAAGTTAAAACATTTATTTAAAGTATATAAGTGAGCTTCAGAACTTTATCCAGAATTAAATTTAAAATCTGAATTATTTTCAACATTCAAAAAAAAAAATTCTTTTGAAAAAAACATTTTTTTTAAAAAAAAAATTGAAATAATTTTTTTTCAAAATGCTTTGTCAACACAAGCACAAAGTTTTTTAAATCATTCAAATCGGATGCTTAGTTTTTTCAAAAACTGCCATTTTTTGTACATTTAGCTCTGTATCTTCGAAATAGAACCTGCCTTTGCTTAAAACTAATCCTACTAATACCACTGCTCTCAATCATTAAAATTGAATGTTTTTTTGGATCATTCAAATCGGATGCAACGTTCTTTCAAAACCTTGATTTCTATTTTCTGCACTCTTTGCTCCGTATCCTTTTGCCTTTGCCAAAAACTATTCAGCACATCTCCCTATCAAGAGGAAGCGAATGTTTTTTGAACTATTCAAATCGGTTGATCCGTGCGCCCGAGAACGTAAGCGACAAAATGCGGACACACAAAGCATACACATATATCAATTTTTTCTGAGGTATGCCAAAATGTTCCAAAATCTCTGAAACGTGAAGATATGGAAACATTTTCATTTTCTATTTTCGGTCCATTACTATAACTTACCCTACGGAAAGTGTTGGACAATCTGTAATGAAATTATTTTATGTAAATTTGAGCTTTTTTATGTAATTTGCTCACAAACTTTTACTGATAGAAATAATGCAATTACTATAATAATTGTTTCGAAATGGGGGTTTGTGGTAAGAAAGTAAAAATTTAGGATTATATGTGTTTGTTTATATACGCGTTATAAAAAAATAAAAATTAATCCAAAACATAAAAATCCGTATCAATCAAAAATGCGAAAAGCTGCTTCGGAGATAAACCTAACAGTTTCCCAAATTTCCACGGCGATTGGATGTATTGTTTATAAATGTATAGCGCACATCAGTCACAGACCGACAGATATAAATACATAGTATGTATATATTACATACATTCATTTTTAATTATATTAGAAACAGTAATACAATATAAACGTTCTTTTATTTATTTAGACTTAATAATACCTCTATGGGCTTGTTTCACAAATGAATCAATCATTTTATATTTAAGCATTATGTTACTCTTATTTATAAACATTTTATTGTTTCCTATTTTTTTACAAAAATGTTTTCCCTATTTTACATTCAAAACAGTTTTGAAACTTAAAATTGTTTCATTATGGATTTCAATTTATACATGTTTTTGGGTTTTTGCACCAATATGAATAAAAATTTAAACAAAATTATATTAATATAAAAATAAATATATCAATGTTCAATATTTTAAAATAATTTTTTGCTGGTCCAATGAAATTGTGTATAAGATAATCTGTTTTGACAATGCATTGAAGCGAATGTGAAATTTCTCAAATCATTTCTCAGATCAGAGTATATCTTTTAAAGCCATCTTTTAAAAAGTTTTTCAATATTTGAGTTCTTCAATAGTCAGGCGCATGAGATTTAGTAACATGATCGAGTCCTGTATCAATGTACTTCTTGTATGGTCTATTTTTATATCTGAAATAGAATAATGATGAAAAATATAACATAAAATATAAATAAATAACTTTCAGGAAAAAAGTTTATGTTTTTACACGAAAAAATCCTATTTTCTATTTTTATGTTTTCTCGATGTTAAATGAGCAGCGCTCGGGTTAGCCCGCTAGGATACGACATCTAGGCGCGAGCAGTGTTCGTGCGTGCCCGTTAAGTGGTTAAGTCATTGTGAATCGAATGAGAGCAAATTGAAACTAGTTTTTTTTTTTTTTTTTTAATTTCAATAATTATTACAACTGCTAATTTATTAACATCAAGTAATATTGATAAATAATAATATAAATTTAAATTAATAAAAGAGCAAAGGATAAAATTTACATGAAAATAATATCCGTAATATGATTTAATGTAAAATATAAGCAAATAATAATAAAAATAAGATTAATAAATAATATAAATAAAATTTCAGAATAATAAAATAATACTAGAAAAATAATAAAATATAACAAAATAACAATAATAGAAATAGTAAGATAATAATAACTAGTTGTAAGTGACATTTTGCCATATCATATATTTGCCAAAATATTTAAATAATCGACTTAACCAATAAGAAATCGATATGTTAATTTATGAATGATTTATAATTATACCGAGTTGCTGTAGTCCCCATAATGTGAGAAACCATTGGAGATAATTCAATGTTGTACTATTTTATTTTTTACACCAGGTACTCTATCGCCATAGAAAGATTCATTAGAAACGTAGAAAAAAATTTAACAATTAATTAGAAATAAACAACTTGGCCAATCTTTGGCAAAAAACAAACTAATCAGCACGATACCCGAATGCTCTCATTTGAACAGTTTTGGAATTTTTAAGACTGATTCAGGATTATTGACTAACACGTGGACAAAAAATTTAGCTCCGTTTGGCTGATTTTGACGATACGGCTTAGCTGATCGTATCAAAAATCCAGACTGGTTATCAAGATTCATCGTATGGCTTTTAAATTTTTGAAACCGGTTCAGTCGATTTTGAGAAAACGCTGATAAAATTAAAATTTTAATTCATCACACCACAATGCGAATTTTGACATGATATTTTTTCAAACTTTGATATTTGTTTAACACGTTGCCGTAAATGACGGCTATAGCCGTCCGATCTTTAGCGATATGTGGGCAAACAACGGCTATAGCCGTCATGCACATTTTAATTGGTAAAAAAACAGCATTAGTACGAAATGATGGTTATAGCCGTCGAAAGTTTTTTTAGAAAAACTGTGGTCAAATGTGATAATTTTCACTTCCAAACATACAACTTACACTCTATTTCATCTGGCAATCATAAACAATTAAAAAAAAGTGTGTTTCTAAGTACGATCGTCAAATTAAAAGTGTGCGGCAACGTGTTAAATTAAACCAATACGAAGATGGCCGATATTTTCACCAAAAACTAATCAGCATGATGACCATCTGATATCTTTCGAAGATATTAAATTTTCAAAAATTTTAGTAAAAAGGTTGATGAAGCAAACGGCTGAGCCGTTAGTCTCGCAAAATTAATCAATGCAAGTTCTTATTCATTTACATCAAATGGTTTTAAATTTTTTTTGAATCATTGCAGTCGTTTTCGAGAAAATGACAAATGTCAAATCTGTACGTGCACTTGGACTTGAAATATAGAATGAGCAAATAGGATTTTTTAGAGAAAACAAACCACTCCTTCGGAAAGTTAATTACATCAGTTATTAAAAATAAAAACTTTTAATTAACAATGTATTATCTTATTAACCTGTTCCAGGGTTCAGGATTATTACGACGATCGAAGATCAAATCGGGATAAGTCAGAGTAGACCTGACAACACAAATTGTCGCCCAACTCAGGACGAAAGCCTTGATCATCAATAATGGAATGATGCTCCGAAATTTGTAAAGATTTGCCAAGGAATCGATTCCTTTCATTCGGGGAAACATTTTGGTATTGACTCTTGATTATTGATCGGATATTTCCAAATTGATTCAGGATGCTAAAAATAGAAATATAAATATTATAAAGTATTCCTGCAAATAATAGTTTTTTTTATTCATAAATTAGTTATTAATGTCTTTATTAATATTTTATATTATAAAAATTAATTAGATTCTACTGACTATTCGAGACTTCGAATTAGAGATAGGGACTCTAAGGAAGGCTGACAAAACTGACGTTGAAGTGTGGGGCAGAAATAGAATTCTACCCATAAACAGCTTGAATCTCGGATTCGAAAAAGAGAAAATCAGAACTCTAATGGCAAACAAACTCGATTATAAGAAAGTAAAAGAGAAGCCTATTGACAAGAAAAATCAATTCTCGGATTCGATTGAAAGAATATAAGAGCTCTACTGCCGCACAAACTCAAATTTAAGAAAGTAAAAGAGAACCCTACTGACGAGTAAAATCAATTCTCGAATTCGATTAAGAGAAAATTGGAACTCTGTTGACGAATAAATTCGATTTTAGGAAATTACAAGAGAACTGTATTAGAAAAAATTAGATCTCTAATGACAAACAATCTGGACTATAAGAAAGTAGACGAGAACTGTACTCATGAATAAACTGAGTCTCGGACTCGATAAAGAGAATGTTAGAACCTTACTGACAAACAAACTCGACTTTATGAAAGTAAAAGAAAAATCTGCGATCGAACAAACTCCACTTTAGAAGTGTAAAAGATGATTTCTCCCCTGAATAAACTAAGTAAATGTGTATGTTTGAAAATGTTATGAGGACTAGTAGTGCATGGCATCGTGCCATCAAAGCAATGGCGCTGCGTAGTTATTTTAGAGACCCAATAATTAAATTAAAACTTTTTACAGTTAAACGTTACAAATATTGGTACGGTACCCAAAGAAATATAAACAACATTTGTATTCATTTTATTAAAATCTCTAATATGTCTAAAGATCATTTTTGACCTCCGAATGACTCCGAAACCGCTAGACTTGTATTTCCAAAAATTCACAATTCGTCATTATGTCAACACAAATTATATGTTTTCTCAATCATTCAAATCGGACGTTCCGTTCTTTCAAAAGTGCCTTTCTTCTGTCCAATATCTTCGAAACGATTGATCTTGCTGTTACGTAAAGCTAATCGTCTACGTCTCCCCATCAATACTAATCAAATGTTTTTTAAATGAACTCGAAATCGAAAAATTGCATCTGAACATACACACACATAATACACACAAAATACACACTCAACCACATACAAATACATCCATTTTTCTAAGGTTTGCCAAAGTGTTCAGAAAGATTTGTAACGTAAAGTTATATAAAAAAAATTATTTTCGATTTTTTGTGATTACTATAATTTACCCTACGGGAAATTAATTATAAGAGAAAAACTGATTGGAGGTTGACATTCTAAGGATCAGTAACATATAAGGAGGTTCTGCGAAGACTAAGCAAACTCTACTACCGAGCAAATAGGATCTTAGTTTTAATCACAATGAAAAATAAAAATAAAATCCAAAACAAATAGATTTACTGATGACCAAAATGAATCACAGGTTGGATGAAGAACAAAATTAAACTCTACTTTCGAACAAACATGATTTAGAAGACAAAATCCAAATTTTTGAATTACCAGATGGGAAAAAAGTAAAAAAATTGTTTAAAATCTGAAAAATAACGCTGCTCCTGGGTAAGACAAGATAACAGCAAGAATCACTAAGAAAATAATAAATCTAATAGCTCCACTACTTGCTGTTTTAATAAATAGATACATAGAATGTGGTGTATCATGCCTTAAAATGACTACAATAAAACCAATTTTTAAAACAGGAAACAAAACAGATCCAAATAACTACAGACCCATAACAATAACAAACACATTCTCCAAGATATATGAAAATGTAATAAAAGAAAGATTACTTAATTTTTTCATTAAAAAAATTGACAAAAATCCATATGGTTTTTTACCGTCATCAAATCTCAAGGTGCATTGATGGATTTAACAAGTTACCATAAGTGAGCACACTGAAGAGAATAAGCATACAGTAGCGAAGAAGAAGATAAAAAGAAGATAGTTGCATTAACAGGAGCTTTAAAAAGGATCCATTTTTTTCGGGAAAAAAATAGAATATTGATTTTAAAAGCGCATATACGTAAAACCCATAAGTTTATATGGAATAAATACTTGGAGTCAAACAACTAAAGCTAACTTAAATAATATACAGAGAATAATGAACAAAGTCATGAAAATATCGTATAATTTTCCACACTTAACACCCACCAAATACTTACAAACAGAAAAAAATATTCAATGCAAATTAATACACAAAATTAAATATAACATAATTAAAACAAGAACAGCAATAGACACAAATCAAGATATACACGAATACTGCACTAGACAACAAAACAATTTTCAACTGAACACAATAGAAAGAATAAATTGAGAGGAAATGTCGTATGGAGCGCAAGTAAAATATATAATGAATTACCAAACGATAATGACGACGAAACCAATGATGACGACAAATTTGAAAGAAAAATAAAGAAATATTATAAGAAAATTGAAGATTGAATAGATATTTTAATTATAATAAATATTATATTGTAGTATATTTAAATAGACAAATGATCTGTATATATAAAATAAGAAAATCGTTTCATAATCTCTCATACCAGATACCCCTGCCTGACTGAGATATGAAAATAATATATAAATAATAAAAAAAAACGGCGAACTTCAGCAAATAGTGAAAAATAATCTACTAAATAAGATCATAACTAGTAAGTAGAATTTTGGCTTCGCAAGTTGCGTGAACTTTCCGATACATATAAGTTACATAATCGTAAAATGTTCGACATGTATCAAATGTTTCAAAAATAAAATTTTCGCTTTCATTAAAAAATAAGCAGTAAGTACGATTTTCAATTGATGTTTTTCAAACATAATTATAATACTTTAATAATAATTGTGTAAATTAAAACTAATTTGTTAACTAACACATTTTATTTCATCCAATTTGTATACTAAAATGTATTTTATTTGATGCTGACGCCAACTGTAATCAGTAGATGTCTACGAAACACAGAATTTACATGTGCCCTATAGACAAAATATCAAGCTTTTAAAAATGTTTACATTCATCTTTTTTACCTTTTTGGAATCTATTCTACACTTTTTTATTTCGTCTTGATTAGTGTCTCAAGTTTTACTATTTTTATTCCTCTTATTCTATTATGGAAGTATTTGACTTTAGGCCAACTTTCTTGTTGGTTTTACCTTCGTTTCGTGTTTTTTTAAGTTTCAGTTTATTTTACTATTTTTTTCTGATTAAATTCGCTCAGATGGTTAACTTGGTTGTTGAAGATTGGATTTTTCACCTAAAAAATAAAAATAACAAATACAGATGGTTTAAACTGAAAATTCAAAAAATTCTTAAATATATATTCAGAAGCACCAATACTTTTGCAATGCTCTATCTTTTTTTTTTAATTCATAAATAAGAGACCAATTTTCCGATAAAATAGAAATATTACGCAATGCTATTGTTATGCTCTATTCTTTATATAAATAGCATATATAACGCCCCATTCTTTAAGGATTCAGGATTTATATAGAGAAGAAAACCGTAATAGAACGTTGCCATAACAAAGCTATGTTACATTTCTATTTTATCGGAGAATTGCCCCCTGAGAGTCTCGTTAACAGACGTGGCTGCTATGTAACCTGGAAGACACACAGATATCACTGATGCAAAGCGTTATTTCAACACAAAATAATGAGTGAAATTACATTTTTATTTAGCAATTGTATTAAAAAAATATGTAGAATTTATATGTTTAACATAATATATATTGCAACTTTAAACTGCAGTTTGAATAAATTTAAATTTATCACAAAAACACAAATAAATAATAGAAATTATAAATGCACAAAACTATAAATAAAAATATAAAATAAGTTTATAATATAATAAAAATAATATGCTTCATAATTTTTTAATGAAATTGAGAAATATAATAATCCTAATACAAAAATTATAATTATAAATCAGTAACCTTGGTTTGTACTTGATTTTTTTACCAAATCTTGGGTTTGTTCTTATTTTTTGGGCCGATTTCCATTTTATAAATACTTTTACAACTGTTTAAACTAATTTATAAATCTTACATGTATTATATAATATATAATTATAAATAAAAAACAATAATTGAATAGAAAAGTAAACTTTTGCTTCAAATTTACGAATAAGTAAGATGCGTAAAGTTATGACGTATTTTTGACGTAGCCCATACGTCATAGGTGTTTCATATATATTACATACGAAATTGCCAATATGATTTATGACAACTGTCAGTCAGAAATGTCGAGCTAAAAATAGCACAAATTAATGTATTTCTCAAAGCATTTATTTGTTGTGTATATAAATTAGTTAAACAATGAGCTATGAAAATATTTAAGATGGAATGGATCAAAAAAGTAAGTAGGTGTAGCCCTGCCCTAAGTCTCACCTCAGGGTTAATTTCTTTTGTGTTATTTTAATCAATATATTTTGTATTAGCATTAATGCATATAATATTTATAATATAATTGTATTAATAATTCATATATCGGGTTTGATATCATTCTTATTACATGCATAAACTTATAGCGTTAAGCAAGGTAAACAATACAATTACATAAGTGATAGTTTGTATATGAACAATTTTACTTTAAGTTTTTGTAAAATAATAATGTATAAATTTGAAAGTACTTACATTTTTTTGTTGTCACTAAAAATTTTGACTTTTTTTCTAAACTAAAATTTTTGATTCTTTTTTGTCATTTTGTAGTTTGCGCTTGCTTAGCTTTAACCATGCTTTAACAAACAAAACAATAAAATGTTCAAATTTATGAATTTAACGTAGTAGCGCACGAAGGCACTGATAAAAATGCAATTCATCACTGAAATTTTGCCGCCCTAGCATTGATCAATTGAAGCTGGTTTTCAGAAAGGTATGAATAATATGAAAATATTCTTGATATTTCAAAATTAATTACATACAATAATCAATTCCCGAAAATAAAAGAGTATTATCTTTTTAAATCTCCATAGTAATAAAATAAACTATTTGATAGTCAAATAATATACACAACTAGCAAATCCGACGAACTCCGTTTCGCCACCAGATGGTTTCGTGAGAAAGATGAAGAAATTTTTTGCTTGTTTTATATTTGAAAAGGAAAAATTTGATTTTATTATACAACAGTAATGAATTTATTTCGATTACAAAAATCAAGTGTTTTTAGTTGAACTTATCTAAGTAAATGAAAGTGAATCCGCAAATTATCCGTTTCATTGAAGTGCTCTTTGGTAAACCACATTTTTTGTTTTTTGGTCTGACGTTAACACAAACAAAGCGGATGGTTTTTCAACTCGTGAACAGGCAACGTATAACTGCCCATGTGAAAAACAATGATTTTCTAAATAATCTATTTGAAATTTATCCCGCAAACACTAAGCGATTGGCCTTGCGACTTGTTATTGCGAACGCAAGGCGAACTGGATATTGCAATCGTTTGAAGTCAAACGGAAGACCAGTCGGAATCATTGATATGTCACCAAATCGCCAGCAATTTTTGATTAAATGGTAAAATTCAGTGCGTGTACATCATTATTCTTTGCGGCAAGAATTGCTCGTTGACTTAACCTAGCATAATTCTGATAATTCTCACTAATGTCATTACTCGAATTTTTAATTACGGTGCGTGAAGTTCCAGCAGCTTGCATTAAGGCACGATGCCATGCACAACTAATTTTCTTAACTATAAACCTTGCGGAGCCCAAGACCTTTCCAACGAATGCAAAATTGTCAAAATCGATTCGTGCGTTCTGGAGTTATTTCGTCAGGAAGGAAAACCCGACTTATTTTTATATATATGGAAGATATACTCAAAGTTTTTATTTGATACAAAACTATACTTCTTAAAATTATTCTCCCTTACTTCCTGATGTTTCAAGAGCTATTAAACTAAATTATAACAATCTTAGCAATTAGAATTTACTTTCAAGATGTGTATGTGAATTCAATCAGAATAATAATGAGAGTCAATACCGTGACAAACCGTGAATACTAGTTCTACTATAGTACAAATTGCTGCATACATATACATAATCATTATTAATGAACCCTAGAACTTAATTGTAGATCTGATTCATATAGGTATGCTGAAAAATTGGATGCTGCACGCGTGGAAGTTGCAGATCAGCGCGCCAATGTGAGCACCCGGGAAGGCAGAATGCTTCGTAGGTAAAAATAAATGGACATTTTGCAACTATGCGTACCGATATCAACAAGAAAATCGGCATAAATAAATAAACATTTTATAGTTACATCGTAGTACAAATCTTGATTTAATGAAAAATGCCTGAATCAGAGAAATATTTTACCATGTTCCTTGAAAATAATAAAACAAATTAAATATTTATGCCGTGTACTAAACTTAAGTTTATTGATTAGAAATTATTTCTATATTATTCGTAGTTTTTATAAATCTTTGAAGTTATTAAAATGGAAAATATTTTTAGGCAAGACGGTTATTACAGTTCAATGAATGAGATTATATCGCCAGCGAAACAGTGAAAAAAAATACAAGTAGTCAATGAATGTATGTTAATTTTAATTACATACGTTTACATAAGTTTTTCAAACACAACTACATGACGAGTGAAGTTGCAAAAATAATATTTGTTCAGACGTTGTTTAACATAATCCACTGTGTGAACAAATATTAAAGAATTTAATTAGCAATTACTTCATTTCTCTAATAATGGTTCATTTCTACATGCTAATTACAATCACAAACCGATCATGTCATATTTGACTTTAATTACAACATTTTTTTTTACAAATTAAATATATTTTTAATGCTATTATAAATAAATAATTTATAATTTATCATTATATAAATGTGTATAATGGTTGACACTAATAAACATAGATAAGTCAACATAATGTGCTAATAAATGAGTGCATCACAAGTGTTACCATATTACTACTAAACATTATTCAAAATTGTTATATGATGTATTTATTTCTGCTTAACTTAATTTTGCTACTTTGTACAGTAGCAAATAAGTTTTACTTCAATCGTGCGTGAATCTTACGCGCTTACTCTTACACTTTTTTTAACTATTTTTTTTTATCCGATCGATCTTAGACGAAGCTCCAAGGACTTATGATTGTCACTGCAAGGACCTTGTTTTTTAACATGGTCAACACAAACACCTATAACTTTGAAAGTAGTTTTATACTTTTTTCGAAATTTTTGTTACTTCGCTACTTTTACGTGTCCACCGCCTCTGCTTTACTGTTTTTTTTTTAACTTTTTATTCAAAAGGTCGGCTTACACATTCGTATTAATACATTTATGCAATCTAGCCAGGGCCGAGCCAAGAGTCCTCAGCGTCCGCATGCATTTTTTTTCAAGGTTTTATTTAATTTTTTATTTTTTACAATATATAAAATTATATTATATATTGTAAACTTCTCCTAATTTATTCTTGCAAAATAAATTTTTAACATATTGGTTTGGCTGCCTATCATCCGAAATAAATCTTGAAGCGGACTGTAATAAAATCATTGATATCTGGCGATAACCATTCCAAATTTTATCACTACGGAATGAAACACTGCGTTTTGTATAGAATCTATATTGTATCTTCAAACTACTAGAACAGCGGTGATTAAATTATATATCCCGCTGCATTGTCTAAACTGGCTTAAAATTATAATTGTCGAGTGTACAGAATATTTAGGTATAAAAAAGAGCCCTTGTGTAAATGATATAGGCCAGAGGCTACAATATTCTAAGAATTTCAAACGATACACGGCGCAAAGGCATCGTGCATTTAAACACATCGTCAAACCGTCAAAATATATTTTGACCATATATTTTAAAAGTACTGTCCAAATATTAGTAGAAGATGCAAAAAACTATAAATTTCTTGAATGACATCATAAAAACTAATTATATCTGTATCTTTATTTCTGCATAGCTAATAATTAAATTTAGAGTATGGACACCGAAAAGTACAAAAAAAGCTCGAGGATTTTGTTCCAAAATAAAACTCCATTTCCATAAACCTCACCATGCATGACTTTAACGGCAATGTTCAATTCATAGAGAGAACTTAATCCAGTTCCCATTGAATTAGTTATATCAACAATACACAAAATACTGTTCCATTATTTTTTGAAAGAAACAAACAATAATTATCGTATATGTATCAATTTTACTTGCATTGGGTAATCAGATGTACAATGTAATATTATTGAATAATATAGCAAAGTTTTACTAAGATTTATACTATCGTAATAACCTTCTACTAGTCCACTAGTTCATCAGATGCGTTGACAACAAAAACCTGACTCCCCATTTTCCACTTTTTTATATTACTCTATTATAGTTTGAATCTATTTTCAACAAGTTCCGTTTTCTTAGTTTAGTAGAGCTTCTATCTTTCTAGAAAAATATCAATATCGAAAAAACACTTTATAATAAGGTCGAATTAGGGGACAATAAAACTAGTTTTTAAATAAAACGTTTCAGCTGAAGGCAAGCTTGTGGATTTCAGATTGCTACCGCCGCTCAGGTCACACGGTGTTTACAGAGTGAACACAAACCGCATTCAATACGTTAATTGACTGTGATATCAAATTTTACTCTTTAAATTTTCCAGAATAGATCTATAGAATATATTTCAAATTGCTTTTAGCACATTATTAATAGCGAATATACAATAATTTTAAATCAGATAAATAAAAGCATATCATATGATTTTTTATTTATTTACATATAACAGTCCAAATGAATAATTGTCAAAGTTTAAAATACTACAAACTAAATCTGTGCCACATTTCAATTATTCAATATTAAAATTAATGATTAAAATATTTGAATATAATTTAAAACTATATAAATAATACGCAATGTTATTATGTTAATTTATGTATGGTTAGTTAGTTTTTAACACTTATATCTAATATGAAATAATGAGACTAGTTGATAAAATGAGATAAATTATTTAGAATGAATATCAATTCGTGTTAGCACTTCTTCACTAATTATTATCAAATATTTTTTGCATAAAATATTTAAGAAATGCAGTACAATTGTTTTTATCTATTAATAAATTTTCTTGATATTTCAATACTTTTTACATTTTCCAAATAATTTTTTTTTTCTTCCTCACATTTCCACTTGTTGCGCCACAATATCTCCTGTCATTTTCATTTTTTCAAAATGTTTAATTTTTAAATGCTTTTTTAAATTTCCTTTAGTGGTACACTTGCTATCGCAGAACCTACAGGAAAAAGGTTTATCTCCAGTGTGAATTCTCAAATGTGTAATTAAATTATAAGGATTATGACAATCCTTACTGCAATAAGGGCATTTGCAAAGCCTTCTTTTTAAAATATATTTGTTATAATAGAACGAAGAACTCTGTTTGGTATCTGTGTGTGTTTGTAAATGCAAAAATAAATCTTTTACTATATTAAATTCTTCACTGCAAATATCACATGGGTGTATATTATGTTTTGTATCTACTCTTTTGTGTGCCTTTTTTAAGTGTGTGTTAAAACTATTCGAATATGAAAACTTTTTGTTGCATTCTCTGCATTCGAAAGGTTTTTCTCCTGTATGGGTTCTCATGTGGATAATCAAGCGAGTGTTCTGTTTGAAAACTTTATTACAAAATTCACAAACATGTTTGTATTTTTTCCGGTGAGGTATATTTTTAACTATATGTTTACAAGGATTTTTTTCTTCACTCGAATCTTCATTTATTTTGTGAACATAATGTGTCTGTCCAACACGTTCATCTCTTTTTTTACCGCTTTGAAAATTCATACTATTTAGATTTGTTTTTACACAATGTATTTCGTCTTGATTAACTAAATTTATTGGAGAATTACCATAAATTTTATCATCAATTGCTTTAATATTATTTTCTATTAATTTATTATCACAACCAACATTTGATTCATCACTATGAAATTTCGCATGCTTAATCAATTTCAACAGCTTTTTAAATCTTTTTTTACAATACTTGCATTTGTACATTTTTTGTTTTGGCTTATCCTTTACACTATTTGAGATTAATTTACGATGGTGAGCATTTAAATGCTTGGCTAAATAACAACTTTTGGTAAAAGTTCTGAAGCATATACCACATTCAAAAGTTTCTGTATCGAATTGACTTGATTTTGCTTCTACGTCATTCAAATAGCTATTTGTGGGATCATAATTTTTTTTCCTAGATACTTTTTTTATAACTTCACATTCCGATAATGAAGGCGTCCTTTTTGTAGCATCAACTGATTCATTCTTGAAGTCAGTAAATTGACTTGTTATGAGCTTACACGAATATGATCTGACATGACGTCCGAGGTGACAAATTTTGCTAAAAATTCTCCTGCACAATTTACATTGAATAATGTTTCTATCTGTGTTATTTGAAATTTTTCGACAGTTTACTTGATTTTCATTCAAAATCGTTGCCTCTTGGAGATTATCTGAAAATTCATTTTAATCGAACTTAATATTGTAATAATATATTAATAAAAGTGCGTGATTATTATTTTCTATGCAAACTATAAGAAGTTTTCAAAAAACATATCTGAACCAACGTATTGTAGCTTAACCTCAATTTTATTTTGGTGCTTATATTTTGAGCGACTTAATCGATTTGTTTTTAATTTCCGAAGAAGTTTGTTTTCATAAAAAAATCCGATTCTCTAATTTTATGTTTTCCGACGTTTCAAGTCTCATTCTGAGTCGAATGAGACCAAATTTTGAAAAAGTATGTGTGTATGTAAGCCCAATTTTGACCCTTTCGTCAAAAACGGCTGAACCGATTTCAAAATTTAAAAGCCATTCGAAGTAACTCGATAAGCGTTTGTCAGTTTTGCGCGACGATCGGTCGCACAAAATAGCAAAAAAATAAAAAAAACGTTCTTGTTTTAGCCCGCAATTCTGAATCTATTCTGAAAATTTAAAAACCGTTTGGAAGATTATATCGGTTGGGTATCAAGTTCTTGTAATTAACTGTTGAGGAAAAATATTTCGACTAGTTTTATGATTTTTTTTTTGGCGATAGATATCCTGTATTCTAGAACATACTAAAATATTACGGCCCTACGACAGTCGTTTAATTTTACAAATTCATCAAAGTGTGAATAAATGAGTAGCATTTATTTGACGTTTGTTAAAATTAGACTTTTCATCGTCGTTTTCTCAAAAACGGTAGAGTCGATTTCCAAAATTTAAAAACCATTCGATAAAACAATAAGCACGATCGCTGAGGCGTTTCTTTGTTATTAGCAGAAAAGTGAAAAATTCTTCGTCCACGTTTTAGCCAAAAATTCTGAATCGCAGACAAAAATCGGCGAAGCCGTTTCTTAACCGGGTCACCGCAAAACGTATTTTTCGAGAGGCGCTTCCAGATATCAGCTGTAGCTTTCAAATAAATATTACAAGTAATTATTTTTAAAATATAGCTAAAAGCCGCCATAATATATGTATAAATTTTTGTATTAATAAATTTAATAGTTTTCGAAAAAAACCCCTCAGGTAATTCACTTTTTTTCGCCCTCCTAACTGTATACAACCCCATAAAAAGCGCTTACTTTACATCTGTTGACGATATTGTTAATAAATTTTCATATGATTTACATGCTTTTGCCAATAAATATTCATAAAAAAGTATAGTGGCAAAAGTGTCGATACTACACAGTACCGAATATTGAGTACTTTTCACTAAATTGAAGCGTTTGTGCAATGAAGACAAAAAATTCATTGAGGATCATATTACAATATTATTAAATTGTATTCCAGAAATCTGATTTAAATCAATATAATTTTCAACATTCCTAAAAAGTTTAGAAAAGTAATTTTTCGATACCAATCTATAATCTGGAAAAATAATAACATTCTATAATTGTTCATTAATTTCATTTAAGACAATACATTGGTGCTATACTATTTTCCAAATGTGATACTTTTTCGTAAAATAATATTTTATACTTAATTGTTGAGTGTTATTTATTGAGAAATAAAGATTTGATTACAATCTGTTCTTAATAAAAAAAACATTTAGTAAATATGATTGCTATGTTTAAGGTTAGAATAAAAATAAAGATTACCCAGTGATAGACTTTATATTGTTGATTTTGATGTTAAAAAACCGCTACAATTTTATATAAAAGAAAATAAACATCATTATCATAGTCCGATTATATTTATTAAGACACAACTTGAATTCCTTTGTGAAGCAATAAATATTTAATGAAGGACCGATAATGTTATAGTTACACACAACAGAATGACTTAAGGAGGAAACCTGCTTTAGAGGCTTATAAAAATTGATTTTTTTGCAAAAGTATCTTCCAAAACTGGCCAAGAATATATCCCTAAAATTTCAGAAACAAATTCAAATTATTTTCGGAATTACAGAATAAATAGTAAGCAAGCGTCAAGCATGTATACTAGCGGAACGAAAATTTTTTCCGATTCTTCCTAATTGGTGGCAAATATTGAAAAAAAACTAAGCGTCCTATCGCAATCAGACAAAATTCATTGTATTCAGAATTAAATTCTATTCTAGTTGAACCTAAAAAAAAAACTTAAAAAAAGTTATAATTAACCCACTCTTTAAACAATCTACAGTGGAATTTTTATCAAAAAACATGATTTTTTTTTTCAAGCTGCGAAAAATTGGCGAATTTCTCATTTTCTTCTGGATTTTTTAGGTTCAACTAGAATTTATACTATTGAAAATATATATTTCTTTTGATTTTTTTGTTTCGGATGGAAATTGTGACCTGCATCTTTCCCGCCAAATGACACCTGCACGCTCGTGGCGCATCGGCAACATGCTTGTACCCGGCATATTATGCCATATATTTTAATGAAAAAAATTGAGGAGAATGTTGAAATATATAACAATAAAACCTGCAAGTTTCGTTTCAGTTAAATATTTATTTCCTTCCCTAAAAATTCCTCAAAAAAGCAAGCTCCCCCCTTAACCTGTGAGCGATTATAAGGTTTGAAATTTGAATGATTTCGAGAAACTCAAACTCAATTGTTACAAGTATCAACTAGCGCATATGTTTCAATACCTTACATATTGATATTTTTAAGGTGAATACCGGTATTAATAACGCCAAAAATCTAGACGATATATCGGTTTTTCGGTATACCTGTGTTGCCCGCCCTCCTTACCATAGAACGACTTAAAGAAACATCTGTTTTAGACAACTGAGATTTAAAGCTTAAAATGTCTAAACGGTTCGCAGAAACTTAAGTGTGACATGTATCAATTATTATATTTCAATACTAAAAATACCGATATTTTCAAGGTAAATACTGCTAAATACTTATATTTTATCACAAACCTGCATTATATTTTTCTGCAACTATATCTTCTTCACAGTCCCCTGAATCTGCCGCAAAATTTAATTTTCTTTTGCATGTCTGTGAATTCCGATGCCGAATCAAATGGCAAGATTTAGAAAAACTTCTATTACATGTATCACACTGAGTACTGGAGCCAGCAGATCTATTTAAATCAGATGATTTGGTTGTAATAACCTTTTTATTCGCATTTGATAGATGATCATCTAAATCTTCAATTACTTGTTGTATGTCTTTTGTTGTCACATCATTGTCAAAATCATCTTCAAAATATTTTTTCCTGCATGTTTGTGCATTTGTATGACGCATTAAATGACACAATTTAGGAAACGTTCTTCTGCATACTTTGCATTTATGAATAACTGGTGATACTAATCCTAATTTATGATTTGCAAAAGCATGCTCATTTGTAAAACTTGAATTTTCAGGGTCGTTCGAAATCGAAGCATTGAAAAGGTTGTCAACAAATATGTCATTATTCTTAGATTTTCTTAAATTTATAATTGACTTGTTTAGATTATTTTCAAGACTTTTATTAGTAGATACCAAACTTAACTCTGTGGAGACAATTATTGAATCAAGTTCATAATCTTTTGTATATTTATTATATATTGCTTTGCCAGTTTGTAAAATGTCATAATGCACCATCGAGCTAGACTGTATAATACAATCCTCCGCGATATCCGAAGAAGGTAATTTAACTTTGCTGATGTCATCATCTTGATTATCGTACGCCGAAAGCTCTTTTTCTTTGTTGGAAATTGGGATATTTGTTGATTTGAATGTTAAATCGCTATATGGAATTGAAGTCTCAATTTCGCTTGATGTTTTCTTTAAAGACACCAATCTATCTTCCGATATACTACTGGATGTTGCGTCATCAATTTCATCAATTTTGCTATCATTTAAACTATTTTGTAATGTTTCACTCTTTCGTAAATGTGAATTCACATGACGTGCTAAATGACAATTTTTATTAAAAGTCCTGTTACATATGGTGCATTGTAAAATATCATTTGAGTCAATTGGGATATCATCATTATCTTTACAGTTTGGAGCAATATCTAAAGATAAAAAGGTAAAATTTTTCGATAGTTGTTTCTCAGAGATTCCAATTTCATTTTGAAAAGTAACCGTTTCAACGTAATCTGCACAATGCTGGTCATGACTCTTAGTAATATCACTTGACTTTTCATTTTGGCCTAAATAATTTAGAGTTGTTATATTTGTTGAATCTGATACTTCAAGATCTTTTAGTTCATCTTGGAAAATTATGTTTCTTCGACAAGATTCTGTTACATTAGGAGAAACAATTTTATCATTTTTCAAAAGTTTTTCTTGAAGACTATTTGTTTCTTGAGATAATTTTTTCTCAGATGACTTGTTATCAGAGACAATTATTGTACATATTGTTCTATTTTCAGCATTTGATCGATCACTGGAATTTGGAGACAGATCAATTTCACCAGGGTCATAACTCTTAGATGTATCATGTGAAACCTCATCTTGGATCACATTTGAAGTTTTTATATTTGTTTGTAATTCTAATACTTCAAGATCCTTTGGAGAATCTTGGAATATTACTATTTTTTGACATGATTCTAATGCCACGTTGCAAACTTTGTTGAAAGTTTCATTGCATTTGAATGTTGAATCGCTAAATGAAGTTGAAGTCTCGATTTCGCTTGATGTTTTCATTAAAGACACCAATCTATTCTCCGGAAGACTACTGGATGTCGCGTTGTCAATTTCATAAATTTTGCTACCATTTAAACTGTTTTGTAACATTTTATTCTTTCGTAAATGTGAATTCATGTGACGTGCTAAATGACAATTTTTAATAAAAGTCCTGTTACAGATGGTGCATTGTAAAATATCATTTGAGTCAATTAGGATATCATCATTATCTGAAGAGTTTGTTTGTTTCTCAGAGAATTCAATTTCATTTTGAAGAGCAAATGTTTCAATGTAATCTACACACTGCTGGTCATGACTCTTAGTAATATCATTTGACTTTCCATTTTGGGTTAAATAATTTAGAGTTGTTATATTTGTTGAATCTGATACTTCAAGGCCCTTTAGTCCATCTTGGAATATTAAGTTTCTTTGACAAGATTCTAATGTTACATTAGAAGAAACAATGTTATCATTTTTCAAAAGTTTTTTTTGAAGGATATTTGTTTCTTGAGATAACTTTTTCTCAGATGGCTTGTAATCAGAGAAGTTTATTGTACATATTGTTCCATTTTCAGCATTTGATTGATCACTGGAATTTGGGGACAGATCAATTTCACCAGGGTCATAACTCTTAGATGTATCATGTGAAACTTCATCTTGGATTACATTTGAAGTTTTCACATTTGTTTGTGAATCTAATACTTCAAGATCTTTTGGAGAATCTTGGAATATTACTATTCTTTGACACGGTTCTAATGCCATGTTGCAAACTTTGTTGAAAGTTTCATTGCATTCAGGTATTACATCATTTGAATTAGTCCGCGTTTTTACACTGTTGGCATCAACATCTTTATGTGCATTCTGTATTTTATCATTCTCAGAAAGATTTCTTTGAAGGGTATTATCCTCTTGAGATTTTTCATCATTATTTGTATATAGAAACTGAATTTTATGATTTTTTGAAGGCAATTGTTGAGGAATACTTGTTTCTTGAGATGTCACATCAGCATTTTCATATAGATTCCTAATTTCATCATTTTCAAAAAGGTTTTCTTGAATGATATTTGTTTCTTGAGATAAATTGTTTATTAAACTTGTTACTTTTTTAGCCTCTGGGTTATTTGAAATATGAGGGATAAAAAGATTATTCTTTGAAGAACCATCTAATGGTTTTTCTAGATCAATGAAGTCTTCTGAAATAAGATGATTCTGCACGGTATGTTCATTATAATCATTGGATATGTAAAAATTTATATTAGCATTTAAAACAGCGCTAGATGTTTGCTTAATCAAAATGTCTGCATCATTTTGTACAATTGTTGAACTTGTAGACTGCATATCATTATGCTTATCCAGAAAAGTCTCAGCATGAATTAATTGTCTCATATGTTTATTCAAGTGATCCAAAAAAATTGGCAGCGATTTGAATATCTCATGACAAAAGTGACAATTAAAACTATTTTCTAGGCCAAGATTTCCAACTGATGATTCTTCTCTAGCATGAATTTCCTTGAGATGTCTTCTTAACTCACTTAATTGATCAAATGATAAGCTGCAGAATTTACAAATTTGTGGAGATGTAGGTGCCACAGCTTCGATTCGCATTCGATTTACACATGATTTATCTGTTTTGATGATTTTAGATTTGTCTTGCTGATTTTCATCTGAACTTTGCTTTTCCCCCGTCATGTTTCTACTAAGAACTGATTTCTTTTTATTATTCACATCAGAAGTCAGTTGTGCTTCATTTTGATATAAGGTTGAATATACAATCTCTTTAGGGTTTTCTGAGCAAATTGATTTTCTTCGTCTTTTACTGGTTTGACTTTTAGTTTGAATTTGTGGGCTTATATCAGGGACAACATATTTTCTTTTCGTTCCAACTGGAACATGTAATTTGTTTGTTTCTTGATAATGTGAATCATCTAATTGCGATATGCATTGATTTTGTGTACTTTGATCAGAACATATTAATGCCTCTCTTTTAACACATGCCTCTTGTGTTAAATTAAAACGACTTCTTACTTCATCAACAATTTTGTCTTCACAAGTATCTAAATCTGGCAAACATTTACTTTCACATTCAATCCCTGAATGTGATTCTTTCACCTTTATGTCTCCACAAAGAACTGACTTTCTTCTTGATGTATCATATTCATAATTTATATTATGAGGCAGTTGTGATTCTGTTTGATCTATTGTATAATTTAATAATGCTTCATCATCCATTCCACGATTTGTCGAATCAAATATATTTTCATTCAATAAATTGTTTTTTTCATGTTCCTTCCTGTGATTTATAAAGAGATGCAAAATATTAAATGTTTTACTGCAAATATTGCATTTTAAGCATCGTGTAGGTTTTTTCTTGCGACGGAATATAAATGCATTTCTTTCATAGGCACTGCGTCTTCGTCTTTTCTTCTTCGAATGTTTAATAGATGATTTTATAATTTCTTGTTCAGAGTTTTCGATTAAATTATCTAATGTCCTTATTTGGATTTCTCGATTATCTAGACAAAAATACCACACTTGTAATAAATTAATATGTACTTATAAATATTTATTACAGTATTTGATTATATAAGAACAAATAAAAACAAATTAGTGGTGCATGTCATGGTGCCTTAAAGCAAAGTGCTGGAACTTTCCGTGCTAAAATAAAATATTCGAGAAATTTTGAATGTTTCCAAATACGAGGGTGGGCTAAAAATTTTCTGACCTCAATACGGAAAAGAGTGGCAATCATCAATAAAAACTGGTCAATAAAGTTATGCATCTTTTATCAAATTTTTGGCCATTTTGGATGCTCCGTTTTCAATCCACAGCCGTTTGAGTAAGTACATGTAAGTGTTTTTGTGAAAATAGAGCATGCTGAGTATAGAGCTGTTGTTGAATATTTGTTTTTGAAGGGCAATACGAATACACAAATAAAAGCACCATCATTCGCCACAGTAAATTTTTTTAAGTTGAATTTAAACGAGGCAGTAAGAGCTTGGGAGACGATGACGTGACATGACATAACATTGCTAAAGTTCATGAAATTATGTAAGACTAGCGAGACAAAGTAAGAAAGATAGAAGAGGTTATGAAGCTGCCCAAAAATGTGTTTGTCAAATGTTAAAAGAAAAGTTACACATGAAAAAGCCATCCGCACATTTGCTCTCGTTACACCAAAGACATGTTCGAATGAATATTTTCAACGCTTTATACTGTTTCAACAATTAATTACTGCAGGGAAATCTTGAATTCACCATTATATGTCTAAAACAAAAATGGAAAACAACTACAAAAAGAACAAAAACAGTTATTTCGGCTGGGAGTGTGACGGTTCTGAAAACGTCATTACTTGACGAGCTAAAGGCACAAATTTCGAAAAACGACCACATTTGCCGGAAACAAAATACTGTTTTCGCCATGGCAAAAATCTACCAGTTACGGTTGGAACTGCTTGACCATGCTCCTTACTCACTAGATCTGACGTTTTTTTATTTCCTCATCTGAAATTTTTTTTTATCAAACGAGTAGAATGACTTTTGTGAAAATTTTTTGCACCGAAATTTGCCAAGTACTATTTGAATGAGTTACAGAGGTGACAGCATCACTGAGAGAAGGGTGTAGAGTTTCAAGGAGTTAATGCAAAAATATAAATAAAAAAATTAAGAAAATTCTTGTATCATTGTTAGGTTGGAAACTTTTCAGCTCACCCTCGTATATTTCTATAAACACTGTAACCTTTATTGTTCGTATCGTATTGACCAGTGCTTCTTAAACTACGGGTCGCGACCCCAAATAGAGATTGCGTAGGAAAATTCTGGGGTTGCGAAAGATTTCAATGTCAAATATTTATATGGTTTTATAACATCACGTCTTGATTTTTGTATGTTCTTAACAAATTCTTAAACTATATATTTTCATATATATATATATATATATATATATATATATATATATATATATATATATAGTTAACTTCGTTAATCGTTAATCCGCTACAAAAAAAGTTAACTTCGTTAAACGTTAAAGCGTTACATTTCGGAAGAATTAACGCAAGTTAACGTTAATCGTTAATCCGTTAATATGTGTAAAATTACATTTTTATATCGTTGCGTTAGTGAACTTAAAATACTTATTAGTTTAGGTTCTGGAAGTTAACAGGTTATGAATAAAACAAAATACTTGTATAATTCAAATGTGTAATTTAACCCATGGCGCGTTTTATGCACACTTCCGTGTGTATAAGGAAAATGGCACAATTATCACATACCGTGATAACGCTATTGGTCAACTATTTTTGCATTTCTCGACGTTTCAAAGGTTTCTGAATATTTTGGCATACCTTAGAAAAAATGGATGTATGTGTGTGTGTATGTATGTGTATTCGGATACAAATTTTCGTCGACGATTTCGGGAACACGGATCAACCGATTTGAATAATTCAAAAAACATTCGATTCGTATTGATAAGAAGACGTGCTGATTAGTTTTTGGCAAAGGCAGGTCTAGCCGTTCCGAAGATATGGGGCAAAATTGAGCCAAAAACGGTAACTCAGTTTTTAAGAGAACGGAGCGTCCGATTTTAATAATTCAAAAAACATTTTACTTGTATTGACAATTATGAAGAACTGATCAATTTTTCATGAAGGCAGGTCTAGCGGTTTCGGAGATCTAATGAAAAAAGTAAAAAAAAAAAATGCCATTTGGCGGTCAAAATGATCATTAGACATATGCACATCAAATTATCAGATATTTTATAGAGATTTTAACAATAAGTATAAATTTTATTTACATTCCTATGGGTTCCGTACCAATGTTTATCCTTTAGACAGCGACGCGGCGCTTACGCGCTTTATATTTTGTATCTATGCAGTCCTAAAGCAGTAAAATTGCTTTGAAAAAAAGTTCAGATCTTCCAAAATAGGTCAAAATAAAGAAAACATTTTTTTTTTCAAAAAAAATTAATTTTTTGTCCAATAGTTTATAGTTTCTGCATTCCTCTCTACTGCTGTCATACGTTTTCAGCCACATTAACCGAAACTTGGGTGAAATGCCGCGGCAAGTTGGCACTGTTCATCATTCAGGAGTAGTCCAAATCTTTTCTCTATGCCGTTTAATAAGGCATTGGCTAAAGCTGTGCCGTGCGGTAAATAGTAGGCATTGGATTAACGATTGACGGATTTCTCGCATTTTAACGGAAGTTAACGTGTCCGTTAACATTTTTAAAAGTTAACTTAAAAGTTAATCCGTTAATCAAAATGTTAACTTCGTTAATTAACGATTAACGGATTAACGAGTTAATGCCCAGCTATGTATATATATATATATATATATATATATATATATATATAATATATATATATATATATATATATGTATGTATATATATATATATAATATATATATATATATATATATGTGTGTGTGTCTATTGTTACCAAATAAATACATCTTTTAAAAATATATTTTTTTTTATATGTGTGGGACCGTCAAGAAACTTACCATTATAAATGGGGTCGCCAAGAACTTCGCAATCATGAATGGGCTCGCAAAGGACATAAGTATAAGAAGCCCTGATAGAGATAATTATAAATTGCGTGGCAATATATATATATATATATATATATATATATATATAAAAATGGATCGCAAAATGTGTTGGTAAGCGCATAACTCAACAACGCCTGGACCAATTTGGCCAATTCTTTTTTTAAAATGTTCGTTGATGTCCAAGGATGGTTGTTACGGCGAGAAAAAAATGAATAATTGCCGGGAAAACCCTAAAAATAGCCCTTTTCTTCTTTAATCGAGTAGGCAACGCAATTTGTATAAAAAACAATGATCTATGTCATGACATTTTGTGTAGTTTTTGATAATCTAATTTTGAATATATTTATATAAACATAGAAATATCTTTCTATTAATCAAGCTATATTGGCAGCCAAAAACATTGATGTAAATTAATTAAATTTCAAAATTCAAGAACAAATTACAGGCAAATCAGTTGATTCGGCAACTAACCAAAACGATCCACCGGAGATTTTAAACTTGCTGGATTTGCTTGGATGGTCACCTCACAATCTTCAATTAAAGGTTGGATCGGCAATTATAATGTTGCGAAATATCGACCAACTATATTCAAAGAATAGTATAAAGCAGAAGATGTTCTCGCACCATGCATCCCAATGCGTTTCCAGTGCGTTTATGGTATCATTAAGTGTTTGTGGTATTAATTTAGAAAACCCATGTTTCTCACATGGAAAATTGTATGTTGTTTATTCCCGTATTGGAAAACCATCAGATTTTTTTGTCTATGAGTCAGGTAATCAAACAAAAAACATCGTTTATCACAAAGCACTACAATGAAAATTGACCCGATTTTTGAATTATGATTTACATTATTAAAATTACTTACTTTTAATTCAGGATAATTTTTTTGCAAAGAATAGAAAAAGGTAGACACAAAACACCGCCACATTACAATTTTTTGACAGGACGAAGTCTGTCGGGCCGGCTAGTATATATATATATATATATATATATATATATTCACATGAAAAGTAAATAAACAAAACTTAATCAAGCGGAGTTAGATTTGAAGAGCCTCATCTCATATTTAAAGCCAAAATAAGCCCATCTCGAACACTGCGGTGTGAAATGGAAATGGGAAAAACTCTTACACTACTTTTTCCCTGAATCGAGTTTGATTTTAACTCAGCTCGCAGATCTGCCTTAGGGCAGTACTAACCATTATTATTATCTCATATTTCTAAGAATTATTTAATCTAAATTGCAATGTTTAAATTATTTATCTCAAGTATATGTATAAGTGAGCTTGAGATTTTTGCTTGAGACAGAAGCAAATCATTTGAATCAAATGCTCCGTTTTCTCAAAAACTGTAAGTTTTAGCGTATCTCTCGCAATGGTGAGCCTGTCTTTGCCAAAAACTAACCAGCACGTCGCCCTATCAATTTGAATGGAATGTTTTCTGTATCTTATTAACTGCCTATAGGGTAAATTATAGTAATTGCAAAAAAATCAAAAATTATTTTTTTTATATATCTTTACGTTCAATTCAAAGGTTGTGTGCGATACAAAGATACAAATTTTCGTCGACGATTTCGTGAACACGGATCAACCGGACTTGAATAATTAAAAAAAAGTTCGATTCGTATTAATGTAGGGACGTGATTAGTTTCTGGCAAACGCAGGTCCAGCCGTTTCGAATAAACGGGGCAAAAAGTGCTAAAAAGCGCAATTCAGTTTATGACAGAATAGAGCGTCCGATTTCAATGAATCAAAAAACATTTTATTTGTTTTGTCGGAATGAAAAAATTGTTAAACAAATGCCATTTGGTGGTCAAAAACGACTCATATACAAACGCACATCCAACTAGTGGGGTGTATGGCATCGTGCCTTAAGTTTTCAGATAGATTATTATGATTATTGTAACATTGTCTAATATTTATAAGAATTATATAAACTAAATTGCAAAGTTAAAATTATTTGTTTAAAGTATATTAGAACTTTAATTAGAATTAAAACTAAAATCTGAATTATTTTCGATGTGCAAAAAATTGAAACAATTTTTTTTTTCAAAAGCAATTATTTTGTTAAAACAAGCAAAAAGTTCTCGCAAAAACTATCATTTTTTGCACATTTATTATTCTGTATCTTCGAAATGGCTGGACATATATTTGCCAAAAACTAATCAGCTCTTCTCCCAATCATTACAAATTGAATGTTTTTTAGATCATTCAAATCGGATACTCCGTTCTCTCAAAAACTCGATTTGTATTTCCTGCACTCTTTACTCCGTATCTCAGTAATTGCTGGACCTGCCTTTGACAAAAACTAATCAGCGCATCTCCCTATCAATAGGAATCGAATGTTTTTTGAACCATTCAAATCGGTTGATCCGTGCGCCCGAAAACGTGACCGAAAAATTGTATCCATACATACATACACACACACACACATCCATTTTTTCTAAGGTATGCCAAAATGTTCAGAAACCTTCAAAACGTCGAGAAATGTAAAAATTTTCAATTTCGATTTTCGGCCCATTACAATATCTTACCCTATGGGAAGTTAATTATCACATATTTTATTATTTTAATAATAAGCGCAAATTCTGTTTACATTTCTGTGGGTCACGTACCAATATTTACAATGTTTAATTTAAAAATGAGCCACTTTCACATGTTTTCAATGGTATCTCTGCCAAATGATGATCTAGAAAGTTGAAAATTGGTATATGTTTTTTTTCCAAAAGACCTATAAAATGGCATCAAAATCATTTAAATATCAGGATGGGGCTGATTCTGTATGGAAACACGCACAAACCTTTTCAGCAATTTGCCCTAAAGCATAATGTCATACACTGTTATGCCACTTACACCTAGTTTTAGGCACCTGACTGACTGAGATGTAAAAATATTATGTTGTGAAAAAAAGTTTAATATTATTCATGGGATTTTTTTAAACTGAGAGCATAACATGATTGTGTTTAGGGTTTCTGAGTTGATTATTAAATAATAATAAAGTATTAACTTACTTTCAGTATGCTGTTTCAAATGTTGATCCAAGTCTTCGACCACTTTATTGCATTTCATTAAAGATTTCACTGTGCCGTTGCCATCATTTTCAACACAATTATACAATTCATTATCCTCATGTATTTTTAAGTGTATATTCAAATTTTTATACTTTTTAAACATTTTGCAGCAAATTGTACATTGAAGAAATTTCTTTTTTCTGAAATGAATTTTCTTGTGTGTCGATAGGTTGCTAGCGTGTTTATATGATTTATTACAAATTTCACATCTATACAAAATTGCTGTTTTCTGTTTTGGTTTTTCAGCTAAATTATTAAAACGTTTACTACTAACATTTTGTATGTGATTAAGATACTCGTTCGAATGAAACTTCATATGAACGTCTAATAGTAAAGGGTGATCAAATGTTTCATAACAGATTTGACATGTGTTAATAGTATTATGAGTAATCTCTATGTGTGAACTCACATGTCGAATTAAATTACGTGGATATTTAAAAGTACGTTTGCAAATATCACATTCAACATTCTTACTGCAAGGATTCTCTTCTAGTACTTCATTCTTTACTACCTCATCGGATAGTTTTGTTTCAGAATGTCTGTTTATATGACTTTTGAGATTACCAATGTGATTAAAAGTCCTGTCACAAATTTTACATTTAAAAGGCTGTTCTCCAGTATGGGTTCTCATGTGTATTGATAAATTACTAGCATGTTTACATACTTTTTTACATATGTAACATATTTTTACAGTTTGATTTAAACCATGATTTTTTATTTTATCTCTATCTTTGTGCGTTTTCATGTGCTCTTCCTCATTTCGTGCTTCTTCATTTAAATGTATGTTATTCACAAAACTATTAAAATGTTTGTCTAAGTGTATATTTAAATCATTTGATTGGCTAAAAGTTTTATCACAGTGTGAGCACAAAAAAGGAGGCGCCTTAATATGAATGGTCATATGAATATCTAAAGCAACAGCATGTTTAAACACTTTGTCGCAAATTTGGCATGCTAAAGTTTGATTAGGAATATTGTGTAAATCAATGTCATCAGATATTTCACACATAAACGATTGATCAGAAAGCTGATTGCTAAGTTTAATTTCTTCACAATCTGATGACCCACTGCACATATTGACATGAGTTAGGAATGTATAAAACAAATATGTATTGAAGGAGCATTTATCGCATTTATATTCATTTTCAGCACAGTATTCGTGCTTAATTTCATTTTCTATAGTGACTTCTGAATTCATAAAACGTTCTAAGTCAGTTTGCTCCTGCTCCTCTTCAGGCATTGGTTCGAATTTAACATTAGCAAGATCATAATGTATAACTACTGAAGATTCCTCAGCATTATGAGTCTTTGAGTTTTCAGATACACTTGCAGGATAACTGAAAGAATCCTCAAGCGCAGGTTCTTGTTTTATATTTACTTCATTCGTTTCTGGATTCATCGTAATATTAGAATGTTTAGATTTCTTATAGAAACCACAGACATATTCAGCATTCAACCTAACTATATCATAGCTACGATGTCAATTAGTAATTAGTGATAATAATAATAATACATTAGTAATTACTAATGCCATTTAATATTTCTTACTTACTTAAATATATAATAATGAACATATACTTTAATTCGAAATAACTGAGTTATATTTGACAGATAAACACAAACATTCCAAATGCCGTCATTTTCTGAAGCTGCATGTACATTCACAAAATGTTTGTTAGGTTTGTGTACAAATGCGCGTCTACATTGTCAAAATAGTTCGACCATAGACCATAGGCTATGATATGAGGCTATGTCATAGACATAGATAAACAAGTATAATAGATCGCTATGTCTGGCGGTTGGACGTTACCTCGATTGAAATACAAATTTTTAAAAATAGATGGCAGCACATGTATAATATTTAAATTACCCCTGGTTTTACTTCTTAATTTGTACGTATCGTATACAGCCCCAAAAACCTGAATAATTTTTAATATTGGAAATAAGAACAAATCATACGAAATACAAAATATATATTTTCAAAGATATTACATATGTTTAAAGAACAATTAAAATTATGTTTATATTAACAATTATAATTACAGTTATGGAATGGTTGAAAATATAATAATTATTATACATAATTATAAAAGTATTATAATTTCACAATTATGCTTAAATAATATTTCAAAAACTAAATATCTAAATGAAGAAAATCACAGAAGTATTTAACTAAACTAAGCACAAATAACTGACTAATATTAATTACTTAATGACTAATATTAATATATTAAAATCTTAAAAACTAAGAAGAAACTACAAGCACAGGAGCACGCAATGAAATTACAAATTTAGAAGGAATGACAAATAATACAAAAATTTAAATGGTTAAGAAAAAAACAAATAATTTGTTAAAAAGTACAAATACTTCACAAACAAAAAAGTCCTATTAACATAAAATATATATATTGATATCAAAATTGAGAGAAATTCAAATTCCTAGGATTAAAACTCATTTACGAGACATTGTTCTTTATTAATTCTGCATGTAATAGTTATTTCGCTATCTAATGAATTAATAGTGAAGTTGCATTTAACAAAACCTTCGAATAGTTTCTGTACGAGTGTTTTATAACATTACATTTAGCCATGTTCCATCATGAAAACATTATCATTGAAATTGCCATGAAAGATCAACAAAGTGTTTACAATAAACAGAATAATGTTTTATGCACATACAATTGTTTATGAATCAAAAGATAAAAGCAATATTTTTGATTCCCAAGGTCGGTAACAAATATATCTTGAATTTAAACATTATATTGGGATGTTACACAAGTTTTATTTGAAGAATATTATAACACTAATATTCAATCAAAATACATTAAAATATTATGTATGGTATAGACTCTCTTTATAAGTGTTGACATTTGCTAATGTAACAGATAATCTTATTAAATATAACAATGAACTTACGTTGATGAACATTTAAACCATACTAGCTGAATAACTGTTTTGCAACTTCAACAATATGAGATTCAATCCAATCATATAACAATTCCGAAGATAATGGTATTTCATCAAACATCAAAACTCAGTATCTGCTACTAATACTTTTTAAAAGAAATAGCTGAACCTAATGTTTTAAATAGACACTCATAAATACCGCTATACACTTGTATCTCTGAATGCAACTTTCTCAATGTTTGAGGACATGGCAAATAAATATTTGTCTCCAAAAATAGTAGACCTTTGGAGACTTTTTGTACGACTTATTCCTTAAATTATTGCATTGTTTATGAATCCTTCTTGTCATTACATATTGCATTCCTTGGTTGTCAAAAGTACTCCTGCGCTTTGTTCGTGCATTTTGCAGCAATTTGCAGGTACCCCCAAGACACCTATTCAATATAATAACATGTTGACATATCTTGATTATATATAATTATTGCTGCAATTATTATTAGAAAATACCTTTGCGGAAACTTGTATTGGAATAGCTAAATATTTTAACCCGCACTTGACACTTTTTTGGGTACTATAAAAACACTTTGCCATATTAAATTTCACAAATGTTCACTTAAACAAAATTAATTAATTAGAAACAACACGAGTTCAAAAAGTTAGGTTATTCGTACAGCCATACAGCGATCAAGTACTTGACAGCCACTTGCATGAACCACGAACAATTTGTAGTTGAAATTGAGTGCACATGAGTCATCTGTTTTTAAAAATTGAAACTACTCAGGACCAAAACAGTGCAACGCGGATTTGTTCGAAGATAACTCCCCATGGTCATAGACCTGGATATGGGCGCTGCAGTCACGCACATAGCGAATATCGCTATGTGCGTGACTGCAGCGCCCATGCAGCGCCGGAATAAATATGAACTAATTGAAGCTATCAGTGTGTGGTTTTTATGGGTTTTATATGTTTGTTAAAGAAAAAAGATATTATATAATTGTTATAAATAATAATAAACATTATACAATAATAATGTGAACGCTCAATGTTTATTGAAATTATTAAATTTAGTTCAACGCACTTAAAACATAGTTAAGTGTAATGATTAATTTAATAAAGAAATGCAGTAAACATTTTTAAGGTTAAGTGCCTTAAAGCTTATGTCATGAGCTCGGAATAGAATTGTTCTTGATAAAAACAATATAATAATTATAAAAATATTTTATCAATATAATAAGTAAATAATAAATTAATTTACTCATTTTTTTATTATTTTTGGTCAAACTAAAGACTTAGACATTATTATAAAGACATGATTTAGGCATTATCATAAAGACAAGACCCATCAAATAAAATTGCAGAAAAAAAAACGACTTTAACTTTTCGAGACTTGTAAATTGAAGGAAATATTGTTGACAAGTAGGTTGGACTCAATATCTCGTCCGATTCACTGCAAATGCGATCATAGGGCTTGGGAACCCACGGTGATCCATCAACACTACAAATATATATTTTGCATTATTTCAGCATTGTATTAATTAAACTGATTGTAAAATAAACATTTTACGCTATGTGATAACTTTTATTTTTCTTTTAATCATAAAATTACATTTATTATATAATAACATGTAATTAATAGATAGATAATAGTTATACATAATCAATATACAATATATAAATATATATTTATCATTATTTCAGCCTTGTATTAATTACATTGTTTGCAAAACAATTTTTTCTAGTAAGCATTAAATTTTGATAATATAACAATTTATTGACTTATAACTTTTCTTTTTGCTAAACATAACAATTTTACAACTATTCATAGTACTGCGAATTGTAATTTTGAAGTAAAACTTCTTTAGGCGCAACATGGGTGTAAAAACTTCTTTAGGCGCGACATGGGTGTAAATCCGTACAAATGCAACGAAAACGCCAACGTGAAGTTGAAGACTACGACGCTAGTAAGCGCAGCTATCGCAATTATTCCATCTAGTCTGCGAGCAAAACAAAAAATACATCAAATGTCAAATCATATGTCAAAAACGAAACAAAATGTGTCGACTTTCACTTGAGTTTTGTATTTAGCTCGTAGTCTCTAAACATTTTTTGAAGTAAAACTTCTTTAGGCGCGATATGGGTTAGCAGCATAATTCGTGAGTTAATAAAAATGTCAGGATCGGAAGAATATTTTATCCCGTCCCCCACAAATAATTGTAGTGCAAATGATCGCAAATAAATAATGAAATTAAGGAAAAATCTGCGCTGCGTAAGAATGCGTATGTTTTGTGTGTGATCGACTTTGGCTTCAAAGTGGCTTAGAAATATCAAATGATGCTCAAGAACAAATTCTTAATAATGTTTTTTGAATATTGATTCAAATAATCAGGTTGGATGTCAAACTTGTCGAAAGATATTAAATTCGGATAAAATTCCCACTTTGTGTAAATTTAACGGGTTTGTATTTCCACCTATACCAAATTATCTACCTAAACTAGATACTGTATCTGAAAGGTTAATTTCACCTAGGTTGTGTTTCATGCAAATTAGACGATTGCGACATGCAAATAGACAATTTGGAATATTTGGCCAAATTATAAATGTGCCTGTTGACATTAATAATATGGTTAATTTATTACCTCGTAATATTGATGATGATCATTGCATTAACGTTCACATAAAAAAAGAAATGATTCATAGATCAAGCTATGTGCAGGGCTTGATAAATAAAACAAATATAAAAGTATGGCTTCAATTTGTTAGGCAAGACGGATATTACAGCTGTTCAAGGAATGAGATTATATCATCAGCGAAAAAGTAAAAAAATACAATCAGTAAATGAATGTATGTTAATTTTAATTACATGAAGTTCTTCAAACACAATTGTTACAGGATGAGTTAATTTGCAAAAACAATATTTGTTTAGGCGTTGTTTAACATAATCCACTGTGTGAATGAATATTATAGAATTTATTAATCAGCAATTATTTAAAAACGATCATGTCATATTTCAAGTACGACTTTGATTACATTATTGTTTGTAAATATTATACATATTTTTAATGTAATCATAAATATATAATTTATAATTTATCATTATATAAATGTGTATAATGATTGACGACACTAATAAATGTGTGCATCACGAGTGTTACCATATTACTAATAAACATTATTCAAAATTTTTATATGATGTATTTATTTTTACTCAACTTAAATTTGCTACAATAAAATTGCAAATAAGTTTTACTTCAATCGCGTGTGATCCTTACGCGCACTCTTTTTTATAATAATAAGGTTATGATACTTTCTTTATTCTTCTAACCGCAGCGATCCACTTTTCCCGTTGATTTTCTTTCCACTTAGCTGTAGAAAATGTATAGAATTTGCAGTCACTTTTTCTGCTAGTATTTCTAAAACCCACTATACAACAGCTTTGGTGGCTCATTTTTAATTATCTTATTTCAAATTGAAATAAACAAATATTTTATGTGTTTTTGTTCAAAATTTCGGTTATAATAGCTACATTTAATGCTCAAAGTAGCCACTACGAACGCTTCGGTTGATTTGACTTCCCCTTCCATGCCTTCGCCAATAGGCTATGTGCAAAGGCATGAAAGGGGAAGTCAAATCGACAGAAGCGTTCGTAGTGGCTACTTTGAGCATTGATATTAATAACCGAAATT